GTCTCGTATGCATTATGTGCCTTTACTTTTGTATAAAGACGATATATACGGCAAGGTGGCGATAGCACAAACATGGACAGCTTACTTACTGTCAATGGCTAGTAGTCTCTCCAATTAATATGTATAAATTAACAATTTTATTGCCTCCTGGTGGCCCAGCGGCTTAAAAGCTTATAGCAATAAACTTCTGGCTTCCATCCTCACATAAGATACAAATAATTCATTGTACAACTGTTTGCTTAACCACAAACCAACGTTTTAATTTATTCTTAAATAAATCCAAAATGTATTTATTTTCAAGCAAACCGTTAAAATTGATAAAACTGAACATCAACTTTTGATAAAATCGAGATAAAAAATAAAATGAAGAATATAATTTATCAATAATTTTCGTAATTCAATAGTAAGTTGACAACAGACAAATAAAATAACTGATTATTGGATATTAGCAGTCCTAATAATACAAGGTGATCTCAACTTTGACAAAACGTAAGTTTGTTGAACGGCAAATAAAAAAGTAAAATATACTATGATAAGTTAGAAAGCAGTATTCGATTAATAGAAAACGAACGTGGATTGTTATTACATAATTTCCAGTCCTAATTTATTTTACAACTCAAGTTTTTCATTTGAACTACACATTATGCACATAATGTTTGCACTCTTCATTAACAAATGGTGAATAATGTGCCAACATTTCCATGGTCCTGTCCAGGGCGATCCACAATGTTAAAGCTGTACTCCTAAAGTTTCTGGAGCCATCTTGCTATTTGGCCTTCTGGATTACAAAGACTTAAAAGCAAGATTCGATGCTACATGATCAGTCTGAAGTGTTATGTTTTTTAAATATAGATAATGATGGAAGTGACTAAGGGCTCCAACAACACTTATTAGCTCTTTTCAAATTGTATAATACCTCCTTTCTGTGGCATTCGTTGCTCTTCTGTAGTAGGCAATCACATGTTCTTTTCCGTGTTGCACTTGTGACAAAACAGCCCCAAATGCAAAATCACTGTCATCTGTATCTAAAAATGAGTGGATCTTCCAGAGTTGGGTATGCCAATTCAGGAGTAGTGGCAAATTATTTCTTCATTTCGTTGAATGCTTGTTCACAGTCAGCAGCCTAACAAACATATTTGGCTTTTCAAGTACTTTGTGTAGAGGATGATCTGTGTCAGAGAAATATTTTACAAAATGATGATCATAGTCCAAGAAATCCTCTTACCTCATGCAAGTACTTTGGTGTTGGCCAATTATGGACAGAGCCAGTCTTTGCTGGATGCAGACAATCCTCCTCTGCTGACTATGTTTCCAATGATAGATATAATTCCTGTTGATGGATAATTCACATTTCTTGGATTCACCTTAAGTGTCTTTTTTACCAATCGATCAAGAACCTTCCTTAGCCATTAATAAGCATTATCAAAGACCTTCCCATGCGTTATTATGTCATTCAAGTAGAGGACAATGACGTTTCATCTTAATTCAGACAGACCAGTCTCCATCAGTCGTTGAAATATAGCAGGAGCATTACATAATCGAAATGGTAACACAATTTGCACAATCAATTTCCTGCAGTAAAAGCTGTCTTTTCTCTGCTTGTAGACTTGCACTTGCCAATATCCACTATTAAGATCCAATAGTAAAAACCATTTTAATCCAGATAGAACACCTGAAGCAGAGTCATTTCTTGGCAATAGGTAGGAATCTTCCTTTGTAGCTTCATTCGACGTTTGGTAGTCCATGAAGAACCTTATAGGTTCATTCTTTTATTCACAATTATAATAAGTTGTGCCTAAGGATTAATATTTGGTTCTATCACTTCTTGTCCCTTCATGGTTTCCATCTCTTTAAAAGACTCAACTTGTTGTGCAAGTGGAAGTCGTCTATCTGACTGATGTATTGGAACTATATCCATAGTATCATTATCGTGAGATATTTCACTTGTTTGGCGTCATGAGGTCCAATGGAGAAGATGTTTTGATATTCCATGAGCAAGTTATGTAACCACTGGCACTGATCCAATGTAAGACCTCTAAAGCTCTAGTCATACAACTCTTGTAAGTGAGGTGGTAAGCTCTCCTTATGACGTTTGACTTTGTACATCATTCTTAAAAAGTGACTACATCCAATGTTATTTGTTGTTCGAGTATTACCAGTACAACCTCACATCTTTCAATTTCTCACCCAGATTTGTCTTCAATTTTATAAGAAGAGTCTTCGAGTCTAGCCAGATCAATGTAACAACAAAGAGCTAATCAGACATCGGGAAACATGAAATAGCTGGACTTATGGGACAAAAGTAGTTGCGAATACTCCCATCTGCTCCGAACGAGATAAGAAGTTCACTGTTTAAAGCAACCAGTTCAAGTGGTTGTTGGTGCGAAATCTTGCAGTGCGTTGATCGATACTGGTTCTATAGCTACTGTTACGTCTCCGTTCGTTAGCTAATTTTCCGTAAAAAATTCTTTCCGACGAAACTTTAGCGACACAAGTCCTTTCTTAAATAAAACTGGTTTATTCTTTCTGAATACAACTTTGCGATACACTTAATTTCCACAGTCGCGCTATAACAAACGCTATAATTCACAACGAACGTCTCACGTGTTCAACAATACGTCTCTCTCTCTCTCTGTCCTCAGTTCAATTACACAGCATTACATTACATTGTTGCCGTCACTTCTTGGCCGTCTTATATAAAAGAATACCGTACATCTAGTAACCTCCCGAAAATTCACGAAGCTTCGAGAATATGACGTGTTACTAGGGTCACGTGACCTCCGCTGTCGTAACACTACAATAGCTCAACCCGATATGGTAATGAATGGTGAGAAATTGCCTCCGGAGATTAAGAAAGCAGAAGGATTGATGCGAACAGCGATCGGACAGAAAGTTCCAGAAAGAGGAAAGATAACTTTAGTGTAGGAAACTTCTCTGTGCCTACTGATGTGTGGGTATTTGGCATTAATGAAGAGTTCATATTGGAAAGTGATTTAACACAGAGACATGGATGCAAGGTTAGATTAGTTTCGAACGGATGCACATTCTGTGCCAGGGAACCCCTGTGCACTATATGGCAATTACTACGCCAGAGATTGAACTTCCCGTTACAACAGTGAAAGTAGTCATTGTTCCAATAAGAATTGAAAACATATACCAGGACTTATTAGAAATAAACTTACATCTAGTGAATGGGCCATAATAGATTCTGACACTTCACTATGTCCTGATGGATTAATGGTTTGTAGAACCTTTGTGGGTGTGAAGAATAAAGATGCCATCATTACAGCCATGAAATCAACAAACCGGGGTATTGTCTTCTCAGTGTCTTAATAGCTGTTTATTCCTCACAGGGTCAGCTGTAATGGCGAGGTTTTCTTACAGGGGTATCGAAACCGATTTTTAAGCGTTACAAGCTAACTGACTTACTGCTGAGCCACTCGGCGGCGGTAGGAGCATTGGTAAAAATATATTTCGTTATTTGCTGTCAAGATTTTGATTAATGACAAAGAATCAAAATATTTTATAACAGCTACTGATTAAACTGATTTAGTCGTGACTTGATTTTTCTCTTAATTTCTCGTTCAACTCTTATGAATAGTATGAACATATTGTTGTGCCTCCAGTTCTCGTTTCCATTTTTTATATATTTTTTTTGTCCCACTCTCTGACACCAATTTGTTACGGCTCCAGTCGTTAATTGATTTTCCGTAACTTCGTTCCGACGAAACTTTAGCGACACAAGTCCTTACTTAATAAAACTGGTTTATTCTTTCTGAATATAACTTTACCGATTCACTTATTTTCAACAGTCGCTCTATAACAAACGTTTTAACAACGAACGTTAACTTCAACAATACTTTCTGACTGCAGTTCAGTTACTCACTACCTACACACATTGTCCCGTCACGTTGTGAGCGTCTTATATATATACCAGACTAACATATATCTAGTAAATGCTAGGGCATTCACGAAGGAACAGGATAGTTCTAGAAACGTGGCGTGACACTAGTCACGTGACCTCGCTGACGCAACAATATATTTTTTAATACTAGCTGCATCCGATGTATATACAGCTCAGTGGGTATATTCTACACGAAATGTAAAACGTGAAAGATATTTGTTGCTGTACAAATCCCACGGACGTTGATACAAGTTATAAAAAAAAAAATGAAGTGGCTTATTTGTTGACGTTTTGCACAAAATAGTCTATATTACAATACTGGTTAAAAATAAAGTTAAACTGAAATGAGTCAATGACAAATGTTCTCACTTTTTCCATCAAATATAAATAAAGTGATAATTTGTTGTTTAATTTACAGAAAACAAAACTAAACCTTACGAAACATCCGAAACGAATTATGGGAGTTAAATCACGTGCGTAAATAATCATGGCGGAGGCAGTTAGGTTGAAGCCGTCAAGAAATAAAACGAGAAAGGTGAAATATATTATTAAGCATTTTGAGTAATTATATTGTCTCTGCAACTGAGAACTATCAGTTTTTGTAAAACAAGAAACTTAACAGAAGACTGGTTGCTTAAGTAACTTTAATAGATTCTTAACGCAGAAATGTTTACTTCCAAGTTCCACTCCAGTAGAACTAGATTTAGAAGTAGAACAGTAGAAGAAAACATTTGTTTTTATTTTCTGTGTTAAGAATCTAGGTTCAATTCTTGAGAGTGTTTAACTACCTAAGTTAACAATAAAAAAATGTAACCTTCCTAGTTTTACTGTCTCAGAGCATCTCTCTTGTTTTTCATTAAAATTTCAGTATTCTAACAAGCGTTCTTCAAAAGATAAAATTTAAAAATCTAAGTTCTAAAGTAGTTTTGTAAAGAAGTTATGCATGAGATCTACTGTGTGACAAAACATTATTGAAAATGAATAGGCAAAGTTATAGGTTTAAAATTGAACACAAGCTTTACCTCCAGCAACAAGGAAGTGCTCTTTATATAGTTGGAAAGGTTTCAGAAAAACTATTATGTATTAGTTGTTCAAGTTTAGTTGAAGATTTTTAGCTTGTACACAAAAACATTATGATGTAATTTACTAAATTAATAAATATGGAAATAAAGTGGAATAAAATGGTACCTTGTACCTTGTGAAATAATTTATATATCAAGAGCCTCACAAAAAAATGATGAAAATAACTTGAGCAGACATTTAATATAAGGTAATATTTAAATTGTCTGTAGACTTTACACTTTTCATCAATCCATATTCCAAAAATAACCATAAAATTTTAAGTAATTTCCTTAAATTTTTGTTTAAGGTAAACTCACTCTTAGTATTTTTATACTCGTTTTTGTCATTATATAGCAAATTCTTTTTTTCTCCATCACAGTCTGTGTTAAAGTATACAAAACATAGCACAATTTTTGAATTTTTTAGTGGATTGTTGCTTTTTCCCTCATTTACTTCCTTCCATTTCAAGTATATTTTAGGAAATTATTACAAGCTTGTTATTTTTTGGAAAATTTAGTTATTTTTGCTACATACCTGTCTTTCATTGAATGGACTAGGTTTGTTCCTGTCTTATACTGAACTTGGTTTATAAAACCTTCTGCAGTTTTCAGACGTTTTTTAGAATATTCCCAAAATATATGTTGTAAAGTTTCTCTGGACTAAATCCATGCCTTCTTTCCTTGTCACTGTTCATGTGTAAACCATATATCTTCTTTTCTTTCATATGAAAATGGATTTCCATAATTATCGGCAGTATGAGAAAGTTTTCTCATAATTGTTAATAAGACTTAAATCCTCTTTTAAACCTATTCATTCTACCATTCAGACAGATTACCCATAGAAATATTCTTTTAATTCTTTCTAAACTCGGAATAAGCATCTCTCAAACTTTAAGCCTCTTCTTTAGTCTATCTTGTTCTTTTTTAAAATGTTAATAACTTGCTCTATAATCTAATGGAGCCTTGCTAGTCTTGTACAAGATTTCAGTTAGTTTATAGATTAGCTGGACAATGTTTTTTATTTTTTAGTTGCCAGATGAATCATATTCAGTTATACACAACATGATAAAGTATTATATTACAGAAAAATCTGCAACTTTAATTGAGATAATTAGGAGTGGAAGTAATTGTTATGCTTAGAGCAGAGAATTCATAATAAATATTTATATTCTAAATCTGATGATTAAAACAGACATTATATATCTCTTTATATATATATATATATAATCATAAAAATGATTGACACATGTTACATTTTGCAAACACCATTGAAGCAAATTAATTTTAATATGCATATGTACAGAGATTCCCCCAAACTACTGGAATCTATTTGCAGATTCTATCTGAAAATGTTAAGTGAAATCCTCATATCTTACAGTTGTATAACTTTTTATGATAATATGCATGATTTTCAACATTGATGTTTGCTTATGTTGAGTTTTTTGTTCAAACAGAAACACCATACAAAAAAGGAGAATATGACCATTGACCAGCTATCAGACAAACATGGGGTGAGGCTAATATTTGACTTTTTTTCTGATTGCTGTTGCCTATTTTTATTTTATTCCTGAGTAGTATATAGGAGAATTATACTTGATAAATCTTGTAGTTTATAAAATATAGAGCTCAGAATTTTAGAACTATGTATTATACTTATTAATTAGCATATTTGAGTTGATCACTTGATGTTAGATCATAACATTTCAAATGGTTGTTAATTTTGAGGTAGGTGGTTGGTGTAAAAAAGAAATTATCACAGTTTAAGAAAGATGTACCTGAAATGACATAAGAAAATAGATGAAGCTGTAATTTAAAGTATTTTAAATGAATGTTTAGTATGTTTCAATTTATATATTTCATCATCTTGATGAACTTTGATATTGAATTTTAAATTCTTTAGGCATCAACTTAAAACATATTGTGGTTGAACTATTATTAAGGCATTTTTCTTGCTTTTAAGCTAACATAAGCTACAGATATCACAGTCTGTTCTTACCCTCAAGAACACAAATGTAAAAATAAATCCACATTTATTTTTTAGGAAATTATCAATTTCCTCTGGAACTTTTGTAATGTACTGGTTTGCACTACTGCCGATGGTAACTCATTCCATAAACTAATCACCTTGTTAGAAAAATAAAACTATCTTAACTCAAACCTAGTTTGTTATCCAAATCTTAAACTTGTATTTACATTATATCCCTCAGATAACCTTATAAACTTAATTAGATCACTTCTTATCCTTCTTTTTCAAGAGAAAATAAGTTAAGAGACTGTAACTTCTAACCATAAGATAGTCCTTCCATCTTTGGAATCAGTCTTGTAGCCCTCCTCTGAATCTTCTCTAGTGAATCATTGAAAGGATGACAACAACTGTACACAATATTCCAAGTGATAATTAATTAGTGATTTGTATAATGAAAGATTGACCTCTTTTGATTTTGATTCATTGCCATTATATCTTTACTTTTAGAATTTTGTTCTGCTGATTAAAGATGTTGTGATACTTTATCACACTTTGTAGCTGAAAAGATATCATATTTGCTAGTTTTAACATTATATATGTTGTTGTTTTTTTCATTCCTTTTTTTTAAAGGCTCTATCTGATATGAAGGTTTTCTGTCCATGCTGAAGTTGCTCTTCAGAGTATTATAACAATACTTTTTGTATGGAGAATGTTAGTTTGACCTGGTTTGTATATAAACTGAGGGTTGTTTGGCTGAAATGTTGACTACATGTTTCTTTTCTTTTTTCCCCCCTTTCAGTAATTGTAATCAATTATTTGTGTATGCAGAAAATGACAGTAGATGTATCATGTGTAGTGCATTTAGCTTTCATTAGTTAAACATTTTGTTATCATGTAAACTATTTTATTTTAACAAATTGTAAAATACTTATATTTTTATAATACAGCACAAGTTTAGTGAAATAATTTGTCTTTCCAAAAAAGGTAAAATAAAGAATTTAAAAGCTATTTATGTAAAGCACTATTTTGTCTTAGTTATTACATTTTTTTATAGTGCTAAAAGTTGTATCAAATAGTACTATATCAGAAACAGGGTTTAAATTAAAGCAACTATAGGAAAATATAAATTTTAAACTTGATATTAAATGTATAGACTGTAGTTTGATGAAGTAACCATACATGAAAAAAGATTCATTTGACAAATTTAATACAGTTTGACTTTTGACCAAATATCAGTGATAAATTACACAATTTGCAAATAACTTGCTTGTTTTAATTTCAAACAGGAATTGGAAGGACAAGAAATTTCAAATGTGGGATTCCAAGAGAAAACTTCCCAGCTAACACCAGAATTATCTGAAGTGGAAGTTCCAACTTCAGTAAGTACAGTTCTACTTTCTGATCCTGTAGTTACGGCTGAATATACCAAGACATGTGATATTACTCAAGTAGAAAAGACAAAGTCAGTGTGTGATGAATTTTCTGCACAGGTGCAATCTGCACCTCTGGAAATAGAAATTATAGACAAAATGGTAACATCCACTGAAGCTGCTTTCAGATTATCATCAGAAACAGCCAATGCCCCTGTACCAACAATGTCTAGAGAGATTGAAACAGATTTTGATGTCACTGAAACAGAAGTAAAACCAGAACCACCACTTACGGAAGAAACTACAACAGAACCAGTAGCTAGTATTCATTCTGGTAAAATAGAAGCTCAGCTACCAGTAATTGATTTATCACATCAAGAAGTAACAGCATCATCTCTCGCTGAACTTTCAAAAGAGAGAGAGCCAGAGGAACAAGTTATTGATACTACTCAATCAGAACTAGCAGCAGTGGTTGAACAGACATTAAATGAGATTTTAGTAAAGGTAGAATCTCAGGCTTCAGTTAAGGATACTATTCAGTCAGAACTAACAACAGAAGTTGAGTCACAGTTTTGTGAATCGTCCACTCAAGTGCAGACTCACGTAGAAACAGATGATATTGTACAACCAGTTCAAACATCTGTGAGTAAGTCAAAGGTAGATGTGGAGCTTAAATCTTCAACAATTCAAGATTTAGAACATGCAGCTTACCTAACAGAGAAAAGTTGTGATAAAGTTACATTAAAGAAAGAAATGAGACGGCCAAAAGTCTCCCATCGGTTTTTGTATCCACATCTCACGGAGGAGGTTAAAGAGTTAGAATATATTCGTCCATACACTGAGAGTCAGTTATTATGTTTCTATCAGAACCTTGAGCTACAAAAGAATGATGCCTTCATTGAAGACTTTATACAGGTAAATATTTTACACTTTATAAATATGTTTTTCATCCTTTTAAGATTTAATGTTTACACACAGCTAGTTCACTTTGTGTACAGTGAACAATAAAAATATTGTTAGTGTGCTAACATGAAACAAACGTTTATTATTATAATATATTATTGTTTATATTAAATTTTATATAATATTTCTAAAAATGTAATTTTGCTGTTTTTGTTTAAATACATTTTAATATACAAGGCATCTTGTAGTGTAGTATTTTAAGGTCAAACTGATTTCCCACAGTAGTGACAAGATAGGTCTGCAGAACATCGAGAGATTTGACAATGTAAAACACACAGAAATAAATCTTTATTTAAACTATAAGATAAAGTTAAATAAGTGCACAGGACAGAAGACTGTAAACTTGTCCAAGAACTTATTGAGGAGTTTATGAATAACTAGTTAAATTTAATTATTAATCTTTAGGAGAGTATAACTATTTAAAGAGAGGACTTGAACTTCTCTTATCGAACTGAGGGAGTGATAGAGAGCTAAGAGGTCGTAATATTATATACCACTACCATCTCTTTCTGTCTATATTTATATATATATATACATATAAAGATGAAATGTGTGTTCATTTGCACCCTAACTCCTCCGAGCCTACTGGGCCAATCTCTACCAAAATTTGTATGTAGACACTATGAACTATTGGGAATGTCCTAAGGGGGACAAAATTGAACTTAACCTTATTTCTATTTTGTAAAAAAAAGACTGTTGGTTAATTTCTCCCAGCCTATTGAGTCAATCTCAAACAGTCTTTGGCAGGTTGATACTTTAAGACTATGTTGAATATTCTAAAGGGATTCAAGGTCAAAGTATGAAAGTTGTTGGATTGTTTCTTAAACAACCATGCTTTTCTCATGGTCAGTGAGATGTAAGGTGTTCAAGGGTGGAATAACCTCAAAATCTTTATTTATTGGTAGATGGAA